AACGCACACATCAGTTTCATTTAGCTGTTGTTGCTCAAATAATCAAAGTTGTACTAACTTTACACAAAATCAAAGTTGTCTTTTTGTTTTCATTGTTGATGGAATAAGCATCAAGTTGAGCATTGTGTATTTGATGTTTCATCAATGATGCTTACATTTTTGTTACTACTTCTGGCAGTATCGAAGGGTATTTTCAATGTTTCTTCCACCAGTGTATATACACATTTAGAGTTTACTGTTGTTGATATACTTGTCATGCTGGTTAATTTATGGTTCCCCAGTGTGGTTGCATTTTTGCAATATTAGCTTGTGATTTGTTTAGCATACAGCTAGAATGGGAGATATGAGTAATTACAGTTGTGTGTATGCGTGTGTGTGTATGCGTGTGTGTGTTTGCTAGCCTATATTTGAAGTCACAGATGTGAGTTGGTTAAAAGTTGTGTGTGCGTGTTTGCTAATGTATGTATGCATGAGTGAGTGTATGTGTGTGGGTTTGCTAACAAATCATCAATGTGTTTGTTGAAGTTATGTGTGCATGTGCACCTCTGAGGTAAAGGACAGAGTGTGTATAAAACAGTCATGTAGTCAACAGCTCTACACACTTCTGGGGGGGGGGGGGGGGGGCAAGGGAGGCGATGTTAAACAGCTGGAAATAAATAAGAAGTGAGGGAAGGGATCGGAGAGACAAGGAGGAAAGGTGGAGGCGGAGAGATAGAGACTGGGAGATCAACAGAGGCAAGAAAAAAAAGAGAGAAGGGTTAGAGGTATAAGGAGGAAAGGTTGTGGAGGTGGAGAGATAGAGACTGGGAGATCAACAGAGGCAAGAAAAAAAGAGAGAAGGGATAGAGATACAATGTGAGAGGTAACAGAGATGGAAAAGATAAAGTACAGAGACTGTGAGATAGGCAAATATAGATGAGTAAAAGACAGGTAGACATGGACGAGATAGAAAGAAAATGGATAGTGGTGAGTGTGAAATAGGTGAAGATTGAGAGAAAGGAAATAAACCGCATTCATAAACAGGAACAGGATGGTAGACTGAGACTGTGGATCTATCTAATGGAAAAATATAAATACTACAATGTGTGGATGAATTGGCCAGTTAACAGATGGTATTTAGACTTGACACTGACACAAAGTTGAGCAGGTCAGAATTGTCCAGTCAGGTAATAACAAGCATAGAAAACATTGATGTACATAATCATTTGCTGATGAATATTGCCTCATTTTGGCTACATATCCCTACTTCAGAACTCCTTTGGCAGGTCTTAACTACAGGTCTCCTGTGGCAAGTCTTAACTACATGTTTCCTGTGGCAGATCCTTATTACAGGTCTCCTGTGGCAGGTCTTAACTACAGGTCTCCTGTGGCAAGTCTTAACTACATGTTTCCTGTGGCAGATCCTTATTACAGGTCTCCTGTGGCAGGTCTTAACTACAGGTTTCTTGTGGCAGGTCCTAACTACATGTCTCTTGAGGCAGGTCCTAACTACATGTCTCCTGTGGCAGGTCTTAACTACCGGTCTCCTGTGGCAGGTCCTCACTACAGGTCTCCTGTGGCAGGTCTTTACTACAGGTCTCCTGTGGCAGGTCCTTACTACAGGTCTCCTGTGGCAGGTCCTCACTACAGGTCTCCTGTGGCAGGTCCTTACTACAGGTCTCCTGTGGCAGGTCCTTACTACAGGTCTCCTGTGGCATGTCTTTACTACAAGTCTCCTGTGGCAGGTCCTTACTACAGGTCTTTACTACAGGTCTCCTGTGGCAGGTCCTTACTACAGGTCTCCTGTGGCAGGTCTTTACTACAGGTCTCCTGTGGCAGGTCTTTACTACAGGTCTCTTGTGGCAGGTCCTTACAAACCAGCAGACCTGAATTTGAAATGAAAATGTCATTGCGTGTAAACAGTGCCTTCAGTCTGCATGAATTACGTTCTTTACACACAAGAATCAGATGCTCTTCCAGTCGATCGGGTTGCTCCCTCCAAGCTTCTACCTGAAGGTTTACCATCCTGAGATAAATGATTTATAATCTGGATGGCAGAACAACCTTCACTGAAGTTATAATTTGGGCTTCTTCAACAAGTGGTGGTAAACTGATAATAACATGCTAGATGTTGTAAGGGTCCACACAGCTTGAATTCCTAGGTATAATGTGATAACTGGCCCAGCCATTTTTGTGTTTTTGTTTAAACATGATGACGATCTGGCCCAGCAAATGGCTGATGTTATTTTGGTATGGTCTCCCAGTAATCTTTTCTGATTTGTGCTGGTTGGTATCTTCTGGTCATTCTCCTGAACTTTGTAGCCAAAGGAGATAACTCGAATCTCTAGGTATGTTCAACAACTGGATCCACCGAGAACACATTCTATAATACTCAGTACTTCATGATTATTTCATGTTTGAATTATATATTGTATGGTAAATTTGTTGTATTAATTTAATTTGTCGTTTCCCTGACTGTACATAGATTACATAATACGTCAGGGTGTGCATTTGTACTAAGTATATTCTTGAACAACGTGCAGTTTTCTCACAATAAATGAATTATTTTGGTAGCTTGTGTTTGCTAAATGTTCTTTTCTGATCTATATTTATGAATGGCTAATCCTTTGCAGTACATCATGCAGAGAAAACCTGGCTACTTCATCACTTGTCATGGGGACAGTTAAACCTGCTAACACCATTTTTTATTGGCGTTGCCAATACTCCATTTCCCCTACAGATTTCTCGGTGGTTGTTGTTGCTGGTGCTGCTGCGTGCGTGAGTGGGAGGGGGGCCCAGAGTTGCTGACCATGGAGTAAATTTAGTATGTTCATTACATATTTTTTTTATAGCCTGTTAGCAGTTGAAAAATATCGTTATAAACATTTCTTGGTTTACAAAATCTGGCAACCCTATTACCTGACTTGTGGCAGTACCACTACTTAAGTTGTTTTATCATTTCACAGACAATGAGGATCTGATAGGTATTCTTATACCCAAAGACAACTTATCACAGACATCAGAAGGAGACAGTCATAATTTTTCTGCCATGTTATGAGAAGAAGGAAAATGGAACACGTGGTGACCACTGGAAAGATCTGTGGAAGGAGGGATAGAGGAAGACAATGAGTGAAGATTCTTGACAGTCTAGCTGCATGGCATGGAGGTGTGTCAGCACACAAACGGATACATGTTGCAGGAGATCACGGATTGTGGACAGGCATGAACTATGTATCTGGGATTTGTTCCTTTTGGACTGGCTTATTCTTCTTTATGTTTACAGGATTTTAAACTCTGGCAGAAATTTCTGGGTGTTCACCCATTTCCAGATTTTGGTCTTGTTCTAGAACTTCAGTTTTGAGTGCACATCCATTTTACAGATCTGGCTTATTTGTATGTAGATGCCTCAGCTCTGTAGCGGATGCACAATTTAGCAGGAACTAGCCACAATTAATCTTTGCTGACCACAAGCATGTTGGCGGTCAGTGGTCTGTCACCTGAAAAGTGGTTCTTTGAATCACTAAGCCATGGACAAGGAGGAATACAGAGGAGGCTGTGGGGAAACAGATCTGAAATAAAAAATTCACTCATTTATATGAAGGTCTTTTCCCTAGACTGTTCTTTCTGAATATATATCCTGTTCTTAATATTCTTCAATAGGAAGAATGAAAGTCAGATCCCTCCCCCCCCCCCCCTTTTTTTTTTTCAAACAGTCCTTGTATCTTCTGCAAGAGTGCTATCTTCCAGGCCAACTGAATCAATACTGCAATCTGAACTAAAGATAAACTTGAAAAATTATTGCCTTTGAGAACTGTCTAGGCAGTGTTAAGTATCAAATACAGCAATCACAAGAAGAAAAGCCAGAGAATTATATGGAAAGAACCCCATGGGATCTATCAAATTACAGGAGAGTCCTACTGAAGAAGGATTAGAAAAGCAGAAGATGCTATAACATTACTGTGGTAGCACTATGACATTACTGTGGTAGCACTGTAGTAGTAGCACTATGACATTACTGTGGTAGCACTGTAGTAGTAGCACTATGACATTACTGTGGTAGCACTGCAGTAGTACTCTGGTAGCACTATGACATTACTGTGGCAGCACTGCAGTAGTACTCTGGTAGCACTATGACATTACCGTGGTAGCACTTTGGTAGCACTATGAAATTACTGTGGTAGCACTATGACATTACTGTGGTAGCACTATGACATTACTGTGGTAGCACTATGACATTACTGTGGTAGCACTGCAGTAGTACTTTGGTAACACTATGACATTACTGTGGTAGCACTATGACATTACTGTGGTAGCACTGCAGTAGTACTCTGGTAGCACTGCAGTAGTACTTTGGTAGCACTATGACATTACTGTGGTAGCACTATGACATTACTGTGGCAGCACTGCAGTAGTACTCTGGTAGCACTATGACATTACTGTGGCAGCACTGCAGTAGTACTTTGGTAGCACTATGACTTCACTGTAGTAGTAGTAGTACTCTGGTTCCACTATGACATTACTGTGGTAGCACTATGACATTACTGTGGTAGCACTGCAGTAGTACTCTGGTAGCACTATGAAATACTCCTAATTAGTTGCCTTTTAGGACATGCTTCTAAAGGAGGCAGTGGGTGTATTCCCCCCCCCCCCCCCCCACCAAATGGAGCCAGAAACTCACGCAGTTAAAATAAAGAATATAGTAAAAGCAAGTAAAGGACCCTTTTCCATACCTTCAGGTCCAACATTATGCCAGCCGCCTTTACTTCCCCGGATTAAACCTGGTACCCACTCAAGGCTGGGTCCACCTGGGAGGCGAGGTCTTTTTTTTTCTCCAGAAAGTTTGGTTCTATCAGGACCCCAAACCTCGACCTTCTGCAGGCGAGCGTCTAGCCGTTACAACGTGGCGACTCCCAAAATAATGAATATAAACTACAATATTTGTTATTTTGCAGCAGGAAACAGATTATCCTTATTTGTTACTTGTTGTTTCTCCCCACTCTGCTACAGTTGCTATCATTCCCTTAATTGACCATCTCCCTCGGTGGCGGACGTATTGGTATTTTGCCCAAGGTAAACATCTTTGCACTGAATGCTTCTTTCTCCTGTTCTGTCAAATCTGCAAGAGGTGTGTAATGTCCATGGCTAGCTGCTGATGCAGAAGTAGCTCCACCAAACACTGAAGCAGGACCAGGTGCTGACACATCTCTGCTAGCTTGCTTCTATCAGCAGTTGTTCATAAATGGTCTTCAGAATGGTTCTGTCCAGTACGAGTGTTCCCACAGTTATAGCTTTCGTAGCCAGAAAATCTGTTCTTTCATTTCCCCGCAATTCTGCATGTCCCTGACAGTATATCAACTGAGTAGTCCCTGTAATGCTGATGTGCTGATACTTGGTCTCCACTTATGCCACATTTGTCCATTCTGAACCTTCTGCAGTACTGAATGAGAATCAGACACTATAATTCCTTTGGTAACTTTATATTCTTCTGCCACAATCTTCTCTTTCACTCTAGTTGGACAACATAGATCTTTCACCCTGATGAACACAACCACTGGTTCATCTAGCCCAGCATTTTCATCTATCAGTTGCTGTATCTCTAATTCTGCCATACTGTTACACCACTCCCTACATTCTCTTACGGATGGATGATAATGACCTGATGGAAAATGCTACTGTGTGCATTCCAGTCAACTCATTCCTGGCCCCTGTATTGTCTGCTCGACTAAGGCCACCAGCCCGATGTTTTCTTTAGCTAGTGCCATTCATGACTTTCCTCTTTCCAACAAGTCTCCTGTCAAATCTTTCAGACTGCCATGCAGTGGATGCCTTTCTTCATTGGTTACTCCCATCTAGACCACTGGCTAGACATCAATGTGGCTGCTTTAGGGTAAGTCAGTTAAGTGATTTTGTGTGTATTTGTGTGGTTTTGTTTGATTTATGTATGTGCTGATGAAGGCTCTGTAGCTGCAACGTTCACTTTTCATTTGCTCGTTAATCTACTTTTCGTTTGGTTTGATGTCTTTCCATAGGCCTTGGCCGTTGACAGTCTAGACTTTTTCGATATCAGTTTTCATTGTTCTAACTGGTGCATATCTGGTGCAACCCAAAACAATTCTCATTCTGAATCTCTTTGACCTAGTTTAAGAATGGGCACAAGAAAATGGGAAATAAAGACTAAATACTGTCTATATAATTTAATTTGGTCTATAAAAATAAGTGTTTAGGACCATGTGCCCAAATATGCCTCAACAGGTGGAGATGGGCCTTCATTAACCACATCCAGCGAAGGCTGTATGTAGGCAGGTAAATAATTTAGTCAAACGGGGTTAGCTAGAGCTACAACAGTACCCAAAAAATACCTGTGGATATTAGGGAGTGAACCTCGTGAGGCCCCATTGTGGGGGCGGGGGGAGGGGGAGACAAGAATAGCCCGACTGCCCCCTCCCTCCCCAACAAGCATGTCCTAAATTTCAGCTAATTGGAATGCATCTGCCTGATAGGTGAGGAACAACAGTCTGCATGCAAAAAAAAGCCAGATCTGTGAAACAGATGTGCATGTAAAAAATTCTGGAACAAGTCCGGAAGTGAATAAACAAATAGAACTTTCCAGAACCAGAACGTGACAAACAGAGAGAGAGAGAGGAGAAAGGGGGGAGGGGGGGGGGGGGGAGAGAGAGAGAGAAAAGGAGAGAGAGAGAGAATACTCTTACAAGGATACTGCCCTAACTCAAAAGTAGAAAAACAAAAAAGTTCCTGCCAAATAATGCAGACAGAAACCATAAATTGCAGAATGTATGTATGGCATATTTTACTGTACATTTTCAGGTGCATTACTACAGAATTACAACAATACACAATGGAGCGCACAAAAAATTAATCTTCAGCTCTATTACATGTTTAATCAAGCCTTAGTTTAGTAATACACCTGACAAGATAACAGCGAAATATGCCAGGCAATAAAATCTGCAATATAATGTTTGTGTCAGCATTATGTAAAAATGTTACACAGAAAACTCTGTTTTGAAGAGTTAAAGGTTACAAAAGTGACATACTGTGTTGGTTTCTTTTTCCTGGCATCATCAACGACTGCCATCTGAAATCAAACATGGTTATTTTTTTTGTGAGAAATGTATAAAATACAAACTTTTCTCACAATAGAACAAAAGTATAAAAACAACCAAAAACAAAAATTGTTTGAACTATACCTGGTGTCATATTTAAAAATTAAGTTATCAGAGCTATGCCAGCATCTGTGGCTTAGGAATTGTGTACGTGCTTCATGATTCCAAAATACCTGTTTGATTCTAGCTGCAGGCAACTTGGCTGGTGTGTGATTTCCCCCGGGGCGGGTTCCAAGGCCCCCCCCCCCACCCCCCAAGTGCTGTGATGCTGACTGTTAACTCATCTCTTTATTTCTTCTATCATCTTCCCTTTTATTCCCAGCTTTTCTAGCACCCGCATAGTTGTCCTCAGTAAAATATCCCCCCCCCCCTCATAGTTGTCCTCAGTAAAATATCCCCCCCCCCCCCCCCTCATAGTTGTCCTCAGTAAAATATCCCCCCCCCCTCATAGTTGTCCTCAGTAAAATATCTCCCCCCCCCCCCCTCATAGTTGTCTTCAGTAAAATAGTCCCCCCCCCTCATAGTTGTCCTCAGTAAAATATCCCCCCCCCCCCCCTCATAGTTGTCCTCAGTAAAATATCCCCCCCCCCCCCCTCATAGTTGTCCTCAGTAAAATATCCCCCCCCCACCCTCATAGTTGTCCTCAGTAAAATATCCCCCCCCCCCCTCATAGTTGTCCTCAGTAAAATATCCCCCCCCCCTCATAGTTGTCCTCAGTAAAATATCCCCCCCCCACCCCCCTCATAGTTGTCCTCAGTAAAATATCCCCCCCCCCCCCCCTCATAGTTGTCCTCAGTAAAATATCCCCCCACCCCCCTCATAGTTGTCCTCAGTAAAATATCCCCCCCACCCCCCTCATAGTTGTCCTCAGTAAAAATATCCCCCCCCCCCTCATAGTTGTCCTCAGTAAAATATTCCCCCATCTTGAAAAACATGGGAATTTGGGACAGGGGAGAATAATCATCTGGTGTCTGGATCATAAAAATTAGGGCTGTACCGAATATTCGCTTAGAATTCGCTTCGGGGCCGAATAGTGGACCTATTGACTATTCGGTATTCGGCCAAATAGTTGCGGTCGAGCTGAATACGAATAGTAGTTACCTTACACCGGCTTCTGCATACATGGCCTTAATACTGATAACATGGTACGATTGGTTTTGTTGAAAGCTAATGCAGCTTTCATGCAATAACTAAGCTGTCAAACTTCAACTGCTCCAACATGCTGAGAGAAGAAATACAATCTAGAATACAACCTAGAAATAAAGTAAGCCATTCAACATCTGCTAAGGTCAAAGTGTGTCTCGCAACACCAAGATAAAAAAAATATAAAACATTTTAAGACCAGTTGTTTTATATGGCTCTGAAACTTGAAACAGAAATAAAAGAGATAAGGCCTTATTACAGGTTTTCGAAAACAGTCTTACGACAAATCTTAGGACCTATCAAAGATGCTAACAGCCGGGAATGAAGAGTGAGAAGCAACAACGTAACACCTAATCTGTTTAAATCTCCAATGATCACCGGCTTCATGAGAGCTAACAGACTAAAATTGTTGGGGCATACTGAAAGAATGTCAGATGACAAAGAAGTAAAACTGTATACACCTGAGAGAGGAATGGTCGTAGACCACGAGGCAGACAAAAAAGAAGTTCGAGAGATAATGTCCAGACAGATCTGCAAACAACTGGTGTCATAAATTGTGAAGAGTAGGCCAGCCAGAGAGATGAATGGAGCAGTAAACCTCAAGGGCTCAGAATGCTAAAGAAGAAGATGACTGTTCTGTGCTACTTTATGTGAAGTGAAAGTTCAGGGTACATTTGACATTATGCATGTGTTTTTTTTTTTAAAAGATATATTTTATACACTATACACTATTCATATTCGGCAGAATAGTTGGTCCCGTTATTCGTATTCGGCCGAATAATGAAAATCACTATTCGGTACAGCCCTAATAAAAATACAAGTAAGTATCTCCTGTGAGTGTTTAGGCTTAACAGCAGTAGTTGGCCTAATATACATGCCAGTCATCTGTCTGCCTGGTGCAAAAGTGGATAGAGACAGACAGGAAAAGGAATTCAGTCAAAAATATGCAGGCAGACTGGTAAAACAGGCAAAAACATGTTTCAAGGCAAAGACAGACAGACAGCAAGCAGATAAGGAAAGATAGACAGGCAATGACACAGACAGGCAGACATAGACAGGCAAAAGGCAAACAGAAAGGCAGCCAGCAAGTACAGACAGACAGGCAGATAGACAACTACCCAGAGTAAACACAGAACAAGTAAGGTGAGAATGTTCTGTTCAATTTGACTAGCACTATGTAGACAACCGTCAGTCCCTGGGGAACAGGGAGTTGTGTTGCTGGTTTTGAGAACAGCGTCTGCTAGGAACCTCTCCAGGGCACAGCCTGTGCATGCTGAATTGGACTACAGGCAGCAGGTACCCCATCTCTACATCGCCGGTTAAACCAAGGGAAGACAAGCACTGCATGAAAAGTTAATGCTACATTTATTACCAGTTTTGACTTCAAGTCCATCGTCATGTGCTGGAGTTGTCTTCTCTTGCCTTGAAACTCATTTTGCAGGGACTGCACTTTCTGAGTCTTTCAGAAATAATGAGAAAATAAAGAAAATTAGAAAATATTACAAATTGTTTCCACAAAATTAAATCCATAGGATTTATCAGAAGTCACAACAGTAAAAATGAAAAAAAAACAAACATTTATAGCAGGAGAACTGGTGTAATACTTCTTTTTCTGTGTTCACCGGCTGTAAATTCTGGTAGAAAGTTCTGGTTGTTCGTCCACCTCTGGACTTTAGTCTTCTTCCAAAACTTGAGTGTTTTGCACATCTGACTTATTGTAAGCAGACAATTGGTTCCCTGCCTCTCAGGCAGATGCACTCCAACTTCAAAGGAAGCCCCCCAGTTAGTTGACTCACAGGACATGCTTGCTGGGGAGGCAGCGGGTCTATTCTTGTTTTCCCCACACAGGGGACCCTAGAAGCCACACAGGGGACCCTAGAAGCCACACAGGGGACCCTAGAAGCCACACAGGGGACCCTAGAAGCCACACAGGGGACCCTAGAAGCCACACAGGGATGGTGCAAAAAAACACACACACAAAATGTTATAACAATGAAACTAAAAAAACTCATAGCAGTGAGGATTTTTGCTGTTGATGTTAAAGAAAGAAAGAAACTATAGCACCGAGGAAAAGGTCACTGATAAAGTGTAGCATGCAGCAGTGTAGGATATTATGAAAAAGTACAATATCGGTAAAACACTGATACACTTTATAGCAGTGTTTCTCAAACTTTACTTGGTCGCGGTGCCTTTTTTCAATTAAAATTTTTTCCATGTCACCTTAACCTAAGAAAAAGTATGACTATTTGTGTCTTGGTTAAATTAATTATGAAACTTTTACAATATTTTGCGGCGCCCCTGTGAAGAAGTCACGGCTCCCCGGGGTGCCTCAGCGCACAGTTTAGGAATGACTGCTTTATAAAACAGTTCTTTGCCAAAGCCATCAGTGTCATCAGGCTTAATGCGACAAATAGGAAGATGGTTTTAGAACATCAGTAGGAGTCAGAGCTGTCTCGTCTCCCCAACAATGTTTCATATCTTTCTAGAAAAACTAATGACCAATGGTCAAGAAAAACATCAAGGAACAGTTAGCAGGAGGATGAATATCAAATCTGAGGCTTGCAGAATATATCGATTGGCTGGCCAGGGAAGAACAAGAACTAGAGAAACTCAACAACCTACTTGATGAAACATCGACCTACTTGATGAAACATCGACCTACTTGATGAAACATTGACCTACTTGATGAAACATCAACCTACTTGATGAAACATCAACCTACTTGATGAAACATCGACCTACTTGATGAAACATCGACCTACTTGATGGAACATCGACCTAATTGATGAAACATTGACCTACTTGATGAAACATTGACCTATTTGATGAAACATTGACCTACTTGATGAAACATCAACCTACTTGATGAAACATCAACCTACTTGATGAAACATCGACCTACTTGATGAAACATCGACCTACTTGATGAAACATCGACCTACTTGATGAAACATCGACCTACTTGATGAAACATCGACCTACTTGATGAAACATTGACCTACTTGATGAAACATTGACCTACTTGATGAAACATTGACCTACTTGATGAAACATTGACTTATTTGATGAAACATTGACCTATTTGATGAAACATTGACCTACTTGATGAAACATTGACCTACTTGATGAAACATTGACTTATTTGATGAAACATTGACCTATTTGATGAAACATTGACCTATTTGATGAAACATGGATCTATTTGATGAAACATCGACCTATTTGATGAAACATGGATCTATTTGATGAAACATTGACCTATTTGATGAAACATGGATCTATTTGATGAAACATTGACCTATTTGATGAAACATTGACCTATTTGATGAAACATGGATCTATTTGATGAAACATTGACCTATTTGATGAAACATCGACCTACTTGATGAAACATGAATCTATTTGATGAAACATTGACCTATTTGATGAAACATGGATCTATTTGATGAAACATGGATCTATTTGATGAAACATTGACCTATTTGATGAAACATCGACCTACTTGATGAAACATTGACCTACTTGATGAAACATTGACCTACTTGATGAAACATTGACCTATTTGATGAAACATGGATCTATTTGATGAAACATTGACCTATTTGATGAAACATGGATCTATTTGATGAAACATGGATCTATTTGATGAAACATTGACCTATTTGATGAAACATGGATCTATTTGATGAAACATCAACCTACTTGATGAAACATGGATCTATTTGATGAAACATCAACCTACTTGATGAAACATTGACCTACTTGATGAAACATTGACCTACTTGATGAAACATTGACCTACTTGATGAAACATTGACCTATTTGATGAAACATGGATCTATTTGATGAAACATTGACCTACTTGATGAAACATCGACCTACTTGATGAAACATCGACCTACTTGATGAAACATTGACCTACTTGATGAAACATCAACCTACTTGATGAAACATCGACCTACTTGATGAAACATCGACCTACTTGATGAAACATTGACCTACTTGATGAAACATTGACCTACTTGATGAAACATTGACCTATTTGATGAAACATGGATCTATTTGATGAAACATCGACCAAGTAAGGTATGAAAATAAATGCAAACAAAATAAAAGTAATTATAAATTATCCAGCTGGTATGAATACACCAATATATGTGGATGATCAAAAGCTAGAACAATGAATCCAGTTCAAATATCCAGGATCTATCTTAACTGACTAAGACTGTAAACCAAACAACATCAGTCCTCGCTAAACAGCAAACATTATACAAATCCAAAAACATCTTATGTAAAATAAAAAACACAACTGCTTTGAGCCATAGCTATCAGTACCCTTAAATACGGATGTAAAATATGGACTTTAACATCCAAACTTGAAAGAAAAATACAAAACTGGAAATTAGTATTTTTTGAAAAGGATCTTAGGTATGTCATACAGAGACCACATGACAGTTTTGCCATATCATCGCCCAAATCCTTCTTTTCTTCTGTCATCTCACTGATAACAGGCTGTAAAGTGTCACAGTTTTCTGTATTTGTCTTGCACTTCTTGGGTGGCTTGGCTGGTTGATTTGTTCATCTTTTCGCAGGTTTCAGCTACACCAGTTATTCATTTATTTATTTGTCTTCCCCCTTGCCTTTCTTCCAGATGTTCTGCTGTGAAAAAATCTCATATGCAGTTTGGTCTGGCTGCATTCTCACACAGTAGTCTTGTTCTAACTTTCTCTCTATTGCTAGTATTCGTAACCCTGAAACTTCTTGTGTTGTTGGTGATCATCACCCAAAACATTGGCAAATATTAACCTCTTTCACAAAAGTGAACATTCAGAAAATACAATGATATGGGCATGTAACAACTCTACTGGCCTCTCCAAAACAATGCTACAGGGTGTAAGTGTCTTAAAAACAAGCAGCATTCGGATCAAACAATAGGACATGAAACATTCACTTTTCAAATATGCAACACTTACATAGGGCAGCATGTTTCCTGACTTCATTGCCTGGTAAGCTTCCAACCTCAACTCTTCAGGGCAAACATCATAGAACTCTGCAATCAATAATTCAGCATAATGCAATTTCTGGTAGTTTTTTTTTTTTACAGACAGAAGGCAGCACATAATGGTCTATTTTCCGACTGCTGGGACTACATTGTGCTCAGTTTATAAAAACATTTGCATGACCTTGACTTCGTCTTCTTCTGTATTTGCCCTTAAAATGGCGAGTGATATGTTGTGTTGTGGTTTACAGCTAGGCTGTGATATCTAAACTTACTGGCTCAACACATCTTATTTCAGCGCTTCTTCTTATCTAATTAAAATTCAACAGCCGCTAATTCTAGCAAAAAGTTCTGGTTGTTTGTCCACTTTTGGACCTTGTTCTTGTTCCAAAACCTGTTTTGTGTGCACATCCATTTTACATATCTGGCTTATTTATTTGCAGACTGTTGGTTCCTTACCTCTCCAACTAGGAGGAAACACCTCTAATTAGTCCTTTATGACAAGCTGGGGGGGGGGGGGGGGGGGGGGGGGGGACAATAGATCTGTTCTATATTTAAAGGACAACAGTCCAAAAGTGGATAAACAGCCAGAACTTTCCGCCAAAGTTTACTGCGGTCAACCCCTAGAAGAAGAAAAATGTGTTACCACTGGGCCAGCAATCATAATAGCAATAAAGGTATGAAAGAATTAATATTAAAAGTATTACTGATTAGGCAGAGAAAAAAGAGGCTTTACAAAATAGTAATCAAACTAAAAGAAAATTATAACATATGCAACAGCGATAAGTTGTAACAGGATGATGCAGATTGCAAAACATTGATTAATCAAAGAGAGGAGCAGCTAGTCAAACAGTTAAGAAGACTGGAGATCTCATGCGGGAGACCTCAATGTGAATCCTAGGGCAACAGCCCTAGCCATGCAGCCGGGAATGCCCTGGCTCAAAGATGTCCCCCGGCCTACACCACAAAAGAGGTAAACACAGGCAGTAATATGGCAGTTTGCAAAATATGGCAGTTTGCAAGTGTTAAAGAAAACGAAAAGTTGCTACATTTTTAAACAATTTCACTGAGATTATTGTTTCAACTATTTACTTTTTACACTGACAACTTACAAATGTAAAAAAAAAAATACTTTACTTTTCCAAAACAGTTTTATCAAGTGCTCATATAAATAAATTATCAAATAGACTATCATCAGAGCACATCATTAAAAAAAAAAATACCTGGCAATGAAGGCAAGTCTTTATCCACGGCAAAGCAAGAAAATGGCCACATATGTGATTTCTCCCAGATGTCCATTTCCTTTGGCAGACAATTGCTGAAAAACAGGATTTTCATATTTCAAAAACTGCACACATGACTATTTTGAAATAAATCTTCTTCTTCTCTTCACGTTCACCGGCTGTAAACTCTCACAGAAATGTCTGGTTGTTCATCCACTTCTGGACTTTAGTCTTGTTCCAGAACTCAAGTGTTGCGTGCAGATCTGTTTTACACATCTGGCTTATTTGTATGGAGAGTGATGGTTCCGTGCCTCTCAGGCAGATGCAACCCAACTTCGAAGGAACTCCTAATTAGTTTACTTTTATGACATGCTTGTTGGAGGAGGAGGTGGGGGCAAAAAAGGGGGGGGGGAGAGGTGTAACCCTTTTTGCTCTCTCCTACAATGGGGCCCTGCAACCCAGATGGGGGTTTGAAATAAATAACATATACTAAGATTAGGAATATATTACATAATAATATAAAAACAAACAAACGTTATGTTTAAAGAGTCACCAATCGGGCTCTTAGGCCTGTCTTAATACAGCCATTCCAAATACTCAGCTTTCACATAGCATAACCATGTTATGTTTATAAAGCCATTTACATAATATGAATATCAAGTAAAAACTCAAAAACATGGATGGCAAATGTAAACAATCAAATACACTTGTAGGCATACTCTCATACTTTTCTTCAAAAATAACCTTGGCTCCAGGTGGACCCAACCTTGAGTGGGTACCAGGTGCAGTCCTGGGAAGTAAAGGTGACCGGCGTGATGTTGACCACATCACCCAACTTGTGCCGTTGGTCTATAAAATATAGGTCTATCCCTATATGCCTAAAGGCGTGGAAAAGGGTCCTTTACTTTATTGACTTACTCACATACTCTCATACATGCACACAACCTCACATACGTACACACACTCATGCATGCATACATCCACTCAGCACAACAATTATAAAGTGTTTTAAAGAGACTTACACAAGGTCAAGGGTCGAGGCCTGCTGGGAATTATCTGTCCCTGGGAAGCCTGTGAACTTTGCTGACCTGCAGTCCATTTATACTGACTACCACTTGCCTGTCCACTTGTACCGAAACTGTCCTTGAAAGTGACTCGCTGACCGCTACCACCACCTTGCCAGTTGTTGCTGCCACCGCCACCACCACCTTGCCAGTTGTTGCTGCCACCGCCACCACCACCTTGCCAGTTGTTGCTGCCACCACCTTGCCAGGTATTACTGCCACCACTAGCACCACCTTGCCAGGGCTGACTTGGGCCGTTGAAAAGGTTTCGCTGTGTGCCCCCTAAAAACACGGATACAATTGTGGATCTGGTTAAGGACTTGTGAAAATTAATTTTCTACTAGAGAATACATTTCATGTCTTTTTTTAATCAGTTATATTATTAAATAATCAAATCAAGGCTCCCGAAGTTAAATGTTACACAGCAGTTCTTAGATTTCTGCAATAACAACAAAGAAAAGACATTAGAAAGAAGGGAAAAAGCTGACATTTAACTAGATCTGAGCATCAAGGAATACTGGCTCATAAACAACATCATATCTCAGAAACTGCAACACATCAGCCACATTAAACATTCCAGGGGCTCAGAAAGAATAGCAATAAAAGACACGGTTCCTGGAAGACACAGGAGTATAACAAAAGGATGAGCACAGAACATTAAAGATACCCTTGACAGGACAATCCATGAGACAGAGGTACTGAACAAGAATTGAGCCTCTTTCTGGAAGACTACGAGGAGAGCAATATTCTGCAATGGACTAGCCACCTGATGATGATAACAATAAGAGTTACCAACATCATAATCATCTGCCTTGCCGACAAGAAAAAAGTCATAATGAATTATCCAGCTGGTATGAATCACCAATATATGTGAATGGTTGAAAACTAGAACAGTGCAGCAGTTCAAATATCCAGGATCAAGCTTAAATGACCAAGTGTGTAAACCAGAAATCACATCAAAAACTGCCCAAACAACATCAGTCCTTGCTAAACAGCAAACATTATACAGATCCAAAAACAACTTATATAAAATAAAACACAACTGCTTCGAGCCCTAGCTAACAGTACTCTTAAATACGGCTGTAAAACATGGACCTTAACATCCAAACTTGAAAGGAAAATACAAACACTGGAAATTACATTTTTTAAAGGATCCAAGGTTATCATACCGAGACCACATCATCGCAATGTCATCGCCCAAATCCTTCTTTCTCTTCTGTCATCTCACTGATACCAGGTTGTAGTACAAGTGTCACAGTTTTCTATTTTTGTCTTGCATTTCTCTCCACAAATCTCAGTCCCTGGTGTTCTGAATTAAACCTTATGAGGAGCTTCTTTCTTCTTTGCATTCACCAGCTGTTAACTCTGGCGTAAAGTTCTGGTTGTTCGTCCACTTCTGGACTGTTCCAAAACCGGAGTTTTGCATGTGCATTCATTTGACAGATCTGACACATTTGTGTGCAGACTGTTGGTTCCTTACCTCTCAGGCAGATGCACTCCGACTTTGAAGAAAGCTCCCAATTAGTCGACTCTTACGACATGCTTCTGGGTAGGCAGTGGGTCTATTCATGTTTTCCCTATATTAGGGCCACGGAAGCCACACTGGGATCTATTGATGATTTTCCTCCATGGCACCATCTTAGATCATCCAGTATCATCCTCTTCAGTCTGCCTTGGCTACCACTGATCTTTTCAACCATCACTATGTTTTCCTAAGACTCTTTGCCTCACGTGACCCAAAGACACTGTCTATTTCTTATAGTTGTGTATACTTTTGTATTTAAAATCTTCTCATTCATGTTCACTGACAGTAAACTCTGGCAGAATGTTCTTGTTGTTTGCCCACTTCTGGACTTTAGCCGTGTTCCATTATTTGAGCTGTGTGTGCACATCTGTTTTACAGACTAATGCACTCCGACCTTGAAGGAAACACCCCTAGTTAGTTGACCACTTGTTAGGGAGGAAGTGGGTCTATTGACCCCCCCCCCCCCCCTTTTTCCACTTATAATAATAACAAATAATAAAATATAAGTGATACCATTTTCGTGAAAATATGTGAACACAGAAAAGAAAGAAAAATTATGATTTTTTTCCTCTCTTAACATCTGCTCCACACTGAAATGGGTGGTTTTCATATAGTGGTATAAATCATCTGGGGTAGGATATTAATAAAGTACCATTTTCTCTTCTGGTTTCCTGCGAATGACCATGTCTGGCACTGGTAGCATAGGGTGGGGATTAACAACAACAAAAACAGAAACAATAACTTAAAATGTAAAATGATGATACAGATTATGATAACTGTTGGGAGACAAGTTGATGTGATGCTAAAATATGCTGCCTGTGTCTATCATACATGCTGCCTGTGTCTATCATACATGCTGCCTGTGTCTATCATACATGCTGCCTGTGTCTATCATACATGCTGCCTGTGTCTATCATACATGCTGCCTGTGTCTATCATACATGCTGCCTGTGTCTATCATACATGCTGCCTGTGTCTATCATACATGCTGCCTGTGTCTATCATACATGCTGCCTGTGTCTATCATACATGCTGCCTGTGTCTATCATACATGCTGCCTGTGTCTATCATACATACTGCCTGTGTCTATCATACATGCTACCTGGGTCTATCATACATACTGCCTGTGTCTATCATACATGCTGCCTGTGTCTATCATACATGCTGCCTGTGTCTATCATACATGCTGCCTGTGTCTATCATACATGCTGCCTGTGTCTATCATACATGCTGCCTGGGTCTATCATACATGCTGCCTGGGTCTATCATACATGCTGCCTGTGTCTATCATACATGCTGCCTGTGTCTATCATACATGCTGCCTGTGTCTATCATACATGCTGCCTGTGTCTATCATACATGCTGCCTGTGTCTATCATACATACTGCCTGTGTCTATCATACATGCTGCCTGGGTCTATCATACATGCTGCCTGTGTCTATCATACATGCTGCCTGTGTCTATCATACATGCTGCCTGTGTCTATCATACATGCTGCCTGTGTCTATCATACATGCTGCCTGTGTCTATCATACATGCTGCCTGTGTCTATCATACATGCTGCCTGTGTCTATCATACATGCTGCCTGGGTCTATCATACATGCTGCCTGTGTCTATCATACATGCTGCCTGTGTCTATCATACATGCTGCCTGTGTCTATTGTACATGCTGCCTGTGTCTATTGTACATGCTGCCTGGGTCTATCATACATGCTGCCTGTGTCTATTGTACATGCTGCCTGGGTCTATCATACATGCTGCCTGTGTCTATCATACATGCTGCCTGGGTCTATCATACATGCTGCCTGTGTCTATCATACATGCTGCCTGTGTCTATCATACATGCTGCCTGTGTCTATTGTACATGCTGCCTGTGTCTATCATACATGCTGCCTGTGTCTATCATACATGCTGCTTAACATAATATTTATCTGACCTACGACTGCACTTTTGTATGACAAAATCTGTAATGATTGTCAGCAAGCTCAAATCTGCTTCTGTTTTATGCCTGCATGTGACAGAAAAAGAAGAAGACAAGGGAGAAGCAGAAAGGTAGTGGCTACCACAGTAGCAGCAACGATAGTAGTAGTAGTAGTAGTAGCAGTTGTACATGGTGCATCGACCTACCACGCAGCAGAGGTTGCACAGGCAGAGAAACGGGAGCAGACTAGTAAGAATCCTACTGCTAATCCCACACTTACTGCTACTTTCATTTGTTGTCCGCACTGCTCAAGAACTTTCCTGGCTCATATTGAACTAATCAGCCACCTTCGTACTCATAATCATTGATCATTTACTACTTTGGATGAAAGTGGTCTTCATCACGTGATGAAGGAACAACCAAAGTAGTAGTAGTAGTGGCTGTAGTGGTGGTGGTAGCAGCAGCATAAGAATGAGAACGCTTTAATGTTTTTAGTATAACAAACGTATAATGCTGCAAGCTGTACCATTCATTAATGACAAAAAGTTAGTTGCGTATCCTTTACAGGACGTTGCAGAACCAACGCGTTCGCAACGCCTAAGCCGCATACATACAACATCATTAATGATATGATGATGATAAACTATTTTAAAACCGACATATATATAGATATTTCAGGAAGTGCTTTCACAAAACCATCAATAACCTTCCAGTTAACGGACAGTCTATGCAAATTTTAAGTACAGAAATCATGAATGATCAACTGTCAACAAACAACGGTTGTCTTGTTGACATCTTATGGCCACCAGAGTTATCTCCCTTGCTCCATTCCATCCACCTCCCTCCACACAGACCCATACAAGTTACTTATCATTAACTAACTAAAAAGTTACTAAATCAACAAGTAGAATGGTTTAAACGTATTGACTGATACAAAGAGAATAAAGCGAATAAGAATTTGAAATTAGAGAATGTAAGGCGAAGGGAAGGAAACACTAAAACCAAAAGGCACTTCAGCTATTTCAAACGCCATCTTTTTAAAGACGACTAATGAAATGAAGGGTAAATGATTACTTCATCATTGCCCTGGCTACAAGATCAAATGTCTCTCTATTAGCCTGTCTAGGTCCCAGTTTTTGGTTAAATGTTGTCCTGTATATAATCTCGTATACTGGAATGTTGAAAACAAAAACGTTTATGGACTTTATTCTAGTCTCTAGAGACTTGCCACTGCTCTACCTATAATAATAATTTGATTTGGGAGCTAAAACAACAAAAGAAGTAAAACTCAGCTTTTATAACTTTTACTAAAAGCCGTCAAAGGATGGGAATAGTTATGTAATTATGTCAGTTTGGGCTAATTAACAAAACATTAATGTGTTCAGCATTAATGAACTAGATACATTATATGAATATCATTATGTACTATAGATTTTAATGCTGATTGAATGAAATTTCTCCTGATATTTGATTTGTAATATCATATCAATATATCAGGTGAGAAAATCTCAGAATTATAATTAACGCTATTTTTTTATCTATATTTTTATTCTTAACAGTGAATTCAAAATATAATAATTGTTAACATCAACAATTATTTTTAAACTGACAACGGGTAAAATGTCACAACTGCACGTGAGAAGGAAAGTTTATTGTACGTACCTCGAGGGTGTTCAAACCGACACCTATCTCCATATTTACAGCGATTTTGAAGGAAGAACTGACAAATAACCATTTCTGTTAATAATCACAGAAAAAAACAGAACACCACTGGTATTTTAAGTTGGTTTCGAGGTAGACACGCCACACAAAATCCAAACCGGCTGAACGGAATGCTGTTGTTGATATATTGTGACCTCGATCGTTCCACCCAAATCCCTCCCTCCGCTAGTTGAGACCAGTCAGGCGTGACTTTAAATCATTATATTATTTTATAAAGCAATGTTCCCCGTTGTGAATTATGCAGACAGAAGAACAAAAAGCTCTTTACCTCGTGAAGCAGACAGTTTTTGAATGTACTCAATTTTGTATTTCAGTTTGAAGGATTCATTTACTTGCTTTCTTTTAATAAACTGTTACTGAAGTAAGCTCCTGACGAGATACAGCGAAATATGCCGGACAATAAATTGTGCAATCTATTGTTTGTCTTCTTTGTTCAATTTTTAAATTATTGTTACAAGGGATGCCGACAGAAAAATGACATTGGGGAAAGGAGTCCTAAGTGCCATCATCCCCTTCCACCCAACCCCTATCCCCTTTTCCATTAATTTTCTATAACAAGTGCACCCCACCCCCCTTTTTTTCCCCCCTCCACACCCTACTCTTGCGAAAAGGGGGAAGCGCCGCAGGCCCGGCGATTCTTGAGTATCGAAGCTGGGATGTTTTTGTATTTCTACGTTCGTCCCCCCCCCCCCCTTTTTAACTGCCCCTCTCAGACAGATCTCCTACTTTGAAGGAAGCTCCTAATTAGTCGACTCTTATAACATGCTTTTGGGTAGACAGTGGGTCTGTTCTTGTTAACCCCATAATAGGGCCCCAAAGCATGCAAAGACTACTGTCGGCAGAATGCGCGGAGGAAACCATATCTGGTTCAACGGGCAAGACGGCGACACTAGCAAAGCGCTGTGGAGCCCATAGAGCATGGCGTAGTACGCCCTGGTCATCCCCTGCACCTAGACATTTCTCCAGTCGTCCTGACTTTGTCTTGCCACTGGACCCAGATATGACTTAGGCGAGAGAGTGAGGTCGACGACATTGCGCAACTCTTCCTCACTTTAATCCAAGTCACTCTTTTATCTTCATCAATAGGGCCTCAGAACCCACATGGGGACCTAGTAAAATGCTCCACGTGTGTCTGGCTGGTCCATGTTGCACTCTCGTATCCATCAGGCTGGACAGGGATACTGCATTCTGCTTGTTGTCGTAATCTTCTCTTCTTGTTGTGACCTTGTTCTTGTCATGATCTTCTTGTTCTTCTTCCTGTCATAACATCTGGTGTAATACATCCATGTCATTTGAGGTAAGGAAAAGAAATTCCGCTCTCCTTTAAATACCGGTCGCTAGGTGGAAGGCGACGGCCACTTAGTCGGAGTTCAGTCACCTGGCTGCAGTGCAATTTCTCACATGCTATATAGAGCCAGTTTTAACATATGGGTGTGAATAGTGGACAATTAAAAGACAAGCCAAACTATATCTTGAGGCCACAGAGATGTGTTTTTACAGAAGAATACTTAGAATTCCTTGAACAGGCATACAGAGCCACCCAGATGTTTTGATAGAGGTGAAGGCTTGAAGACAACTTATCACAAACATCAGAAATTGACAGACCTCATTTGTGAATGCATGAAATGAGAAGGAAATTAGAACATGTGACCACTAGAAAGATCTGTGGAAAGAGTGACAGGAGGACAGAGCAAGAAGATTCTTGACCCCCTTTTGTCATGGCATGGAGGGATGTTAACACAAAAACTGATACACACAGTTGCAGATCGTAGATTGTGGAGAGACATGATCACCCAACAAGCCAGCCGGCAAGGCACTTATGATGATGGTGATGTTTAATCATTTTCGCATTTCACATTACATTAATGACATCCCCCCTGTCACACAGTAGGCTAGTCATAGTAACCCCACTGACCACCATAGAGAGAATAAGAAGTCTGATGTATGAACAACGGATCAACATCATGGCACACGTGTTGGAACCCATAATTTCTCTGTTCTTCTTCTAACTCAAGTCTGAGTCCGAAAAAGCTCAGCACAGTGCACATGCTCTGTAGCACCCGTGAGGATCCTGAAATACTTTGGGTAGATTTTAAACTCCAAATTTTGCCCAGGCAGCACTATTAGGCTACTCTTTTTCGATTTCCAACTGCTAAGAGCTTTTTTACGTGCGCAACAATGCACACAGGCATCCGATCTCACAACCCAGGCAGCCCCTTAGAATATGAAGTGACATAACAATAAAGAGCATATACCGCAAAAAACAAGTTACACATCTTTATTATGTCCTTCAACAACACATGATTACAATGTTTAACATAAACACACAGAAAAACTATTAGCTGGTCTAGCCACCTCTCATTAAATGCATTAACTCATCTTCTACGGGTGGTTAGCTGAAAACTTTAGTTCCACAAAAATCCCACCATGTGTGAACAGGTGCTGTCTTCAATGAAGTTTGTCTGCAATAGATATGGAACACACTGTCTCATCTTGGCAGTGCACTCTCTCTCTCTCTCTCAGACTGCTGTTCGTCCATCTCTTGATGCTGTCCTTCCAGTTTTATCACTGTCTATCTCTTGCTCTCTATCCTTCAGTTTTTTCTCCCTCCAGCATGGCTTTTAAAAGAGTGTTAGGGCAAGACAGCCTAGCATCGACACCACAACATCTAGCATCAGAGTGGAGGTGGTAACAGCAGCTCTTTGATGCCTAGAGAACAAGATTCATACACATTTTGTAATTGTAACAGGCTCTGAATTGAATGCATGCTGAGAAAGGTGAATACATAGATGCTTCGAGCAGAGTGGCAAGCTGCACTGGGAAGGTCACGGTAAGTGAGCATATATTTTCTCCAGGCCATGCCAGCATAGTGGGTAACCAACAAGCAGATAGATTGGCTGGACAAAGCAGATGTGGTCAAGGCCCTCTGGGAGCAAGAAACCGAATCAGTAGAGAAACATGATTATTATGGCCTGGTGAGAATGAGGCACCTGGGTGTAATCAGAGGGTCTGGCCGGCTCACTACATTCAGAGGAAAGGCAAAATGGATATATAACCAGATTGTGACCGGTACCACCAGTACTGGAACTCTGTGCTGGCTGCTGAAGATGAGGATGGAGCACACATGGGAATGTCCCAAGTGCTGTGATGTCAATTCTTGACTCAACTTAACTCAACACAAGTGTTACAGTCCAGGTATGAAACAACAGACACAAAGTGTATTGTAGTTTTTCTCCTTTCGTTCACTTGAAATAGATTATCTATATCTGCAATGCGGCATCTAATAGGAACTTCACTTTCTTTTGTAATTCACTTAATGGCCCTTAAAGTTTGGCTTTCACTAGTGTCTCACTTGGCCAGAGGTTTTGTCTGGAAATGTATTTAGGACAGTCTTGGAGGATGTGATCTGTTGTCTCAGGTGCCAGTCCACATGTGCACATGGCCGAATCACCAATGTTAAATTTTGTGTACATGTGGCTGTAAAGTCGACTGTGCAATGATATTCTAAGGCATAGAACAATGAATTGCTCTGGTCTGTCCATAATTTGGCAATCGTCTTGTGCCAGTTTTGGTGGATTTCTGATTGATTTGATTAAACCCTTTTTTTTGTGTGACTTACTTGAATCCTCTTCTGTTGACAACAGACTGGTACGTCAAGTTGTTTTTCAGTTGATAGTGGGGTGTTATAACTTTTACATCTCGTCCGGGCTTTCTCATTTCTTGGAAAAAATAGGTGCTGGTACTCATCACAGACTATCTAATAACAAAGTGTCTATTAAGCAGGGGTCCTAATGGAGCAATGATGCGCAATACAAGACTCTTAATGTCTATTAGCCTCTCTCGCTCAAGCCTACCTCACCTTCACGTGGTGGACCCTGTTCTTTCCAGCAATCCAGTTGAAGGTTGGGGTCTCAACCCCCAGCGGGAAACTGGATGGGACAACAAACGAGGTAAAGGTGAAAGACGAATGGATGATCCTACTCTCCTCGAGTATGATCACAGTCGACCCTAGCAAAACAAGGTGCTGAAGTCGGAGGCATCCAGCCAGGAGGCACACCATAGCAATCAGGATGCCACGCACACACGCCATTGAATAAGCAGTGATAAAAAACGTGATACCCTGAAAGGTGCCGGTACTGTTCACTGTTGCCTACCACCAGGGAAAAAAACGACCTGGCTCTGAGCATACTGCAGAAATATGGTTAGACATTTTAACATGCAGTACACTTTGTTTTATATGTTGTTTCTTTGAAGCAACACACGCATACTTTTACTTCCAACGTGGTTTCCCACCTTGGGCATCTGCTGCAAAATTTCTTGGGACTGAAAGATTGACAGGTCAGAAGTTCTTTTGTCTGCCTTTAGTTTAAACAGACCTGGTTCATCTCACGGTGTTGACTGGTTCGACTTTCACAAAAGAAACAAGGAAAAAGATAGGTGTTCTTTTTTCTTCTTTGCATCACTGGCTGCAAACTCCAGTGGAAGTTCTGGTTGTTTGTCCACTTCAGGACTTTACCAAAATTGAGGTCTGCGTGCACATTTCTATTATTCTATGATTATATACATAGAAATACCTGTCTGGCAGTTCTTTCTTCAAATGACTTCAGCATCCCCATAATTTTTATAGACCAACTGGCAGCATGGAGTCACGCACATCCACATATATCACTCTAAATTTTAGATTTTCTAGCAAAGAAAAAAGATTTTAAAATCCAGTATAACAGTTATACCAATAACATAATTCTGAATCCAAACAGGCAATGCAATCTACTCAACTGTAAACAACAAATGACCTTAATGAGACAAATGAAGAAGACTTTCAAAATGTCTAAATATGTATTAACTGAAAACAATCAAGAAGATCTGGTGCTATACAAATCTTTGTCTGCTGGGTTCGACTGGCCGGGGTCTCCTTTCAGACCAGACTGCTTGCCCTGGCCCTCTGTTTTATCGGCACTAGATGAGGACTGTGAAATCGTCTGCAAAAAAATTATTATAGTTTCAAGAAATATTTCAAGCTTTTCATCTTAAATGGAACTAGAAACGGAACTAGGCTGCAGTGTTTCGATGAAAGATTAAATGGACTAAACTTCCCATATGGGTTCTGAGGTCCTACTGGGGAGAGGGGGGGGGGAAGAACAGAGTCGACCCACTGCCCCACAACAATAATGTCGTAAAAGGCAAGTAATTAGGTCTTTATGAAATCAGATATGTTAGGCAGAAAGGGCAGATATCACAGCCCTGCTATAAACCACAAATCAGTGTGCTAACTTACCCTTTTAAGGGTGGAGACAGAAAAAGAGGACTGGACTCAACTACAGTAGCCCAGGAAAAAGTTAGCTCAATTAACTAAAGCTTTGAAGAAGTCAGATGTGCTGGGGAAAAGCATAAATATTGCAGCCAAATAAACCCATTTACACCCCCAACAAAATTCACAAGGGAGAAAAAAAAAGTAAAGCAGTCAAACACACAGGAGTCAATAATAAAAATGGAAAACAGAATGTGTTGGCTTTAATAGACAAATGCAGGTATGCTGCAACTAAAAAAAAACACAAGCATAAGTGATAGAATGGATACTGCAGGATATAGCCAAAATCAATAACATACTGATACAAGACACACACACACAAATAAAAAAAATACTTTAAAAAGCAGTAACAATTTTTGGGGGAATATTGCATTTTAGGTTATTTTATGTGTGTACAGAAAAAAATCACATACGTCACATAGTCTGGAAATGGTTTGAGGCTGCTGGCAATGAAATACATAAAGCCTATATGAAGAAATATTTCCAGCCTAGACTAATCTCATCTAGTCTATATGTACCTGGGAAGGCTAATCCAATGTAGAAATGCCAGATGTGTCGGTCAAAATGTGCAAATACTACAACTATGCTGTGATTAGTGATTAGAAAGGATTATCATAACAGCACTCCAGACAGATCAATAGGTGCTCCGATCTCCTCCTCAAAAGCTCCACAAGTGTAAAACGACTGATGACGCCTGTTCTGTGTTGGTTAACGAAACGTCTTGTTCCCTTAGTGAAATATTCATTTCTTGCAGCTCCAGGCTGCACCCCTACGTCCATCAGTCTAGACAGGGATACGGAGTTATATTCTTTGGCGTGCTTCTCGGTACGGTAAGTTCAGCGCATGGCATTGATAATATCAATATGCTGTAAACAGGAACAACACAAATTACATCCACCAGACGAACGATGACGAAGAATCATGACTTCTTTCCCTGTCTTCCTTTTCCCAACTCAGGTTCAGTGCCAGAGAACTTGTTCATGCTTGGATGGATTTCGAAGCTAAAGTTTTCTTTATGACGAGATAACCAACCTAATGCCAACTTTTCTTTATCATTATGTGCTCTGCCAACTGGCGTAGGCGCTCATGCATCTCCACAGATCACGATCCCTGGTGGCCTGGAACAGCTCTCTTGACGATATCCCTCTATGCCATCATTTCAGCCCATCCAGCATCTTCTCTCTTGGTCTGCCTCTACCCCTTTTTTCACTGATCTTTCCAGTTGTCACCGTGTTTAACAATGTCTCTTTTCTCATTATGTGGCCAAAGAACAGTGTTTGTCTCTTTCTTATTTTTGTATATAGAGATCTTTCATTAGCTTCTTTTCTTCATCCCCTCTTGTGATACACATGGTAGACGACGGTGTGACTATTCTGAATAAACGAATGAATAAATAAAGAACAGACATCGCTGCACTCTAGACATTCCAACATGGGCTCCATCTCCTTCCCCAGTAACCAATAAAATAAAAAGGCCATGGGAGAAAAGCCTTGTTACAAAAACTACATGAAAATTCCACATCTACATAACTTTGAAAAGCATCTGCTTCACAAAGGAACAAAGTAAATGTATTCATATCCTGACCTCCTAACTGCTGCACAGGTGCAAACATAGCCAGCTGCGTTAACTGTGCACCTCATAAACATGTAACTAAGAAAAGTCAGTAAAGTAACTTTTATGGGGAACTGAACCCAACCTGAAGTGACAGTACTGCAGCTTCTCAGGGTGAAAGAGTTAACGGATAATAGGCAGCCGAGCCAGAGCTCACTTGGTTAAGTTGCTTGGTATGCTGTGACTCTGTGCAGCCCTAAGCGGCCAGTAACTTCTTTAATCTGTTTTCTTTTAGACCCCCCTCTGCCTCTCTCTCTATGTTTCCATTTTCATGTTGTACACCCCTGTTGTCAGCACCATTGGGTTCACTCTCACTAGGTGGCCGAAACATTTTAGTCTCTTTCTCTGTGAATTTAATGATGGGTATTGTGTCCGATGGTTTTTCAAATCTAATGTATTAGACGAGAGAAAGCTTAATCCCTCCTGAGACTCATTAAACCCCCCAGCCACACACGAACCGGAGAAAGCAACACTTACCTCTGATGCAGGACTCTGTTCATCTGAAAAAATAAAAAGAGAAATAGTTAGGGTACGTTTGTTATAAGAAGAGGGAAACTGGAACATGCTGTAACGACTAAAAAGATATACAGAGGAAGATACAGCAAGAAGATTCTTGACAGCCGTTTGTCATGACAAAAAGGGGTATCAGCACATGAACTGATACAGGCAGCTCAGGACTGCTGATTTTGGAGAGGAATGATCGCCTACACCAGTCAGCAAGGCATTAGATGATGATGAGGTTATTTTAACGATGTCTATCTTTAAGAAACTAAAACAGCATGAGAAATATATTCATAGGCAGTACTCGTTAGCATATATTCACAGGCAGTACTCATTAGCATATATTCACAGGCAGTACTCATTAGCATATATTCACAGGCAGAACTCATTAGCATATATTCACAGGCAGTACTCATTAGCATATATTCACAGGCAGAACTCATTAGCATATATTCACAGGCAGAACTCATTAGCATATATTCACAGGCAGTACTCATTAGCATATATTCACAGGCAGTACTCATTAGCATATATTCACAGGCAGTACTCATTAGCATATATTCACAGGCAGTACTCATTAGCATATATTCACAGGCAGTACTCATTAGCATATATTCACAGGCAGTACTCATTAGCATATATTCACAGGCAGTACTCATTAGCATATATTCACAGGCAGTGCTCATTAGCATATATTCACATGAAGTACTCATTAGCATATATTCACAGGCAGTACTCATTAGCATATATTCACAGGCAGTACTCATTAGCACTCGCAGAAGTAAAAGAAAGAATCAGAGATTCAGTTAGAATTAAATAATTCATTTGTTATATTGTCTAAAGCATGTCCTGATGTCTATTGCCAGCCAGACTATTCTAACAATAATACTTGAGGTCTGTAGCTCAGAAACTATGAATGCAGTTTCATAATTTCATCATAATGAGTTTGATTCGGCTGCTGGCCATCTCAGAGCAGGCTGCTTTGCACTGATTTCATCAATGGTGTTAAGTTTTAACAATTCAGAAAGCAATGACAAATTACCCAAATTAAAATTGCCCAGAAAACCACAAACAGAAAACAAATGCTTGGGTTGGTATGCGAGAGTCTGAAAAATATTATCCAACGAACTAATAATATTATCAATTACTCGTGCCTCTCCATGTTAACTGCCATGCTGGAGTGGAGAGGTTATGGGGGATGCAGTTTCCAGAAAACAAAGCAGAGGCTGACCTTTGCAAAAGCAGATACAAGATATTGAAGATACACTGGCTACGAAAGCACACAGGGCTGGAGATTTGGCTAAAGAAAGAGAGACTTAGGTGTGCTGTGAGGAAAGCTTCGTTCTGTAAAGCGTTCAAAACTTTGATTACAACCAGAAACTACAAACCAAAATATCAAAGAACAAAACGTAATAAAATAAACATTCAGCTGAAAAAAACAACAACAAAAGAATGTGAAACAATGAGTAAAATAAACACCATGAAAGAAATTGGAACCAATTATCAAAGAACATGTATTCAACAACCAAGAAAACCTTCACCATTCACTTGTTTAGTTATTCTTGTGAAGCAGAAGTCGAACAGCCGATAGACCTCCTATAAACAGACAAAATCAGACACACGTCTGCTGACAACATATGTCTTTGCATAAAATCAGTTTTTTTTTTTTTTAAACAAAAGAGCTGGTACTCACTACGAAGTGTCTTTAACCAAAAAAAAATTGGTACTCAAAACAAAGTAACTACTACAGTGAAAGGAACCTTCTCCATTTTTTCAGTCATACAAAGCATATAGTGTGCTAGACAAATTAGCACTTAGTGGATGATTTGGTCAACATCGCACCGGCCACCTTTACTTTCCAGGAATCTATCTGGCATCCATTTAAGGCTGGGTCAACATGGGTGCCAAGGTCATTTTTAAAAAATTAAAAAAAAAAAATAGTCTATGTCCAGATTTGAACACACGACTTTAGGATACTCAGGCAAGTGTCTCTATTACGCTTTTAAAAAATATAACTAAAGTTAAAAAATGTCTACTGCTAGATGATAGCCCTACACACAACACAGAAATGGTTACATGCAATAATTACTTCCATGAAAAAAATGTTTTCTGATATTTTATAAAGTGTTTACGGTCAGATCAACGTGAATTACGTTTTTTGCAGGCAGAAGACAGGTTTTACATATTGCATGCATTTACCCCAGTCTTGCAAGAAACATTTGACCTATTACACAAATCTGTCACCCCCACTCACTAAGAAATATTTGACCTACAACTTAAATCTGTCATACACCCCCCACCTCTACAAGACAGATCTGACCTACAATACAAACCAATCACCAACCCCCTTAAAAAAAATATCTTATACAGGAAGACCACAGCACTTACTTCCATTCCCCACAGGAAAGATGTAACAAGTACCACAAATCTATCACTCACTAGTTCACAAGAGAGTGTAAACAGTTAACACGTAAAACAAAGCGAGCATTCACTTCCTAAACATAAGAAAGATTTGGCATACAGAACAAACCTAACACACACTACCTAATGAAAAAAGAAATTGGCATGCAACAGAAATCTAGTACATATATCCATACAAGAAAAAAAGCCAGATACCACAAGAATCTACTGCTCACCTTTATGGAACGGCCAGTATTTATCCAACAGATCTTCTCCAACATTCTCCTTCCACAGCTCTTTCACATAGTCCAAGGAGGTCTGGCCAAGCTCCACAGTCTTCTTGGGGTAGCACACAGAGGCACAGGACACAGCAGCTATGCTGCCATAAGTCAGCTTTCGCAGGATACCACCTGGCCAGTAAAAGATTAGATACAACTTGTTATCCAAATAATGTGGACACATACAACACACTGCAAAATTTATTGCCAGGCATATTTCGCTGTATCTCGTCAGGTGTGTTACTTCAGTTACATCAACATAAAATGAAGCACAAAACGGAATCTGTAGTTTTAGATACAGGTAGTTATATCCTAACTTATAATTACTCAAAAGGATAATTTACAGAACAATGCTCCTGTCCTTTGCATGTCAAATGTTGTGCAGCCTTCTTTAAACTGTCGTCATGATGTCATAGCATTTGTTTGCATTGTGTGTTCATGTTCATACATTTAGAAACTTACTTAAATGAGGATCAAAGCAATTGCGGGTATACCCATCTTTAATGAGGATGATCTTAAAACGAACAATGACTAAAGCAAAACTATAAAATTATCGAACCACTTTAGCAGGCAAAAACTAAACAACTTTTTAAAATCTGATATATTCAAGGGTTCAGAAACTTGGCTCTGACTTTTGACTTCTTCTTATAGTCCATGTCATGTGTTGCTGACAGTCATGTCTTATCCTCAGCCTTCTGTTTCCGGTACTTTCAATCATTTTTGACATAGATGATCATCCATGCCATGATGTCAAGTGGTCTAGCATCTTCTCTCTGTCTCTTTCTGCTTCTTTTTCCCTTCAACTCTTTCACTATAGCAATGTCCTCCAGTTTTCTCCTTCTCGTGACATTACTAAAGAATGTAGATTGTCTCCTCATGTGGGTAATCAGTCCTCTTTGTGTGTTTATTTCTTTCAAGATAGCATCAATACTTTACACACACACAAACTCTGTCTAGGGTATTTTCATCATTCGTCTATAAAACCATATTTCTGCTGCATCCACAACTTTTCATTAATTCAGGATTAATTTCCTACACCAGTTAAAGTTCTGAAGAACTCTCCTGCTTATTGCAAGTAACAAAGAAAGACTGCATAAAATATTCCTAATGTTTTGAAATGCTGCCTCTGCTTTAGCTAATCTACATTTAACTTCTTCAATACATCTTCCATATTCTGCTATTAGGGTACCTTCTTCTTCTCTTCCACCTTGTACCTCATCGAAGTGTCGGGGGGAGATGTAATATTCGTTGATGAGCTCTGTCAAGAGCACTATTTAAACTGGTGTTCATTTCCGTAAGGCTGTTTTTAATGCCATCACTCCATAGTTTTCCGAGGTCTTCCACTCGCTCTATACCCAATGTAACGTTTTAGTGTGGCTCGCTGTGGCAGATAGTACCAGGGCATTCTTGTTAGGAGTCCAAACAATTTCATTTGTTGTTCTTTGATGACCTGTAAGACTGGCTTTATTCCTAGCCTTCTTCTGATTTTGTATTCTGTCTTTCCTTGAAACTCCTGTAGCTCTTCTTAGGCATTTCATCTCTGTTGTCACAATTTTACGTAGGGTACCAAAGTACATAAACATATCTGACTACTACAAATATCTAGCAAATGAACATAAGCCAGACATTTACCTCTGTAGCCGAGGACAATACCTCCCATACCAGCCACAGCTATAAACACTACACGAGGAAGCTCGCCAGGGTTATTCTGTATGTAGTCTAGAGTGGCTGAAAAAAAAAAACATAATCATCAAAATCAAGTGTTTCCTCTTTATAATACTGATGTTTAATGTCTCTCAATGTTTACTTTTCCTCTTCCCTAGCTCGTGAATAATCATCATCATGAGTCATGCTAATATACATAGGCTGTCTTGTTCCACCATCTCATATGATCACCAGAATCATGGATCAGGTCGGTGTTCTTGTCTAGCCCCATCTTTGCCATCCAGGAATTTATTTCTGCCTTCCCCTTACTCTTTTTTCCATACATATCTCTAGACTTCATTAAAAAAAAAGTTTTGAAAAATCAGACAAGATTATTGCAAGTGACATCGACTTCACTAGTTATTGCTTCTTACTGTGGTACTTTGGTTCATGTGTATATGTTTGTGTTAGACACCAAGAAGAATGTATGTATAAGCATCAGAGAGTTACAAAGACAAGTGCCTGTGTGCCACAGAGTTATGATGACCAGCATATGTATGTGTGTCATGAGAGTTAAGAGGATGAGTACATGTATGGGTGTCAGAGTTACGAAGACGAGTGCATGTGTGTGTGTGTGTGTCATGAGAGTTACGAAAATGAGAGCATGTATGTGCAGCAGAGAGTGCATGTGTGTGTGTGTGTTAGAGAGTTATGAAAATGAGAGCATGTATGTGCAGCAGAGAGTGCATGTGTGTGTGTGTTAGAGAGTTATGAAAATGAGAGCATGTATGTGCAGCAGAGAGTGCATGTGTGTGTGTGTGTTAGAGAGTTACGAAAATGAGAGCATGTATGTGCAGCAGAGTTACGAAGACGGATAAAATAATAGACACACTGCCCTTCACAAGCATTGGCTGAAATTGGGCCAAAGGTGCAGATATCACAACCCAACACAATATGCCAACAGACCTTTTACGGGTAATGGCACCACAATTGCAGCCTCTCCTAAAACTAGAAACAGAACATATACAAAACAAATCTTTACAAGTGTATATACCTTTTGAATGCTCTATTCCGGTCTCAGTTGTCACCCTGACTGTTTCAAAAGTATTCTATTAAGAGAAATGAGAATTATTCCATAAAAAAGTTCATTTACAGATGGATCAATCGGTTGAGTGTTGAGCTAAGAAGCAACTGAGACATTTACATAAGCGCTCCCTGCTTATCTTCAGCAGCCAGCGAAGAGTTCCAATTCTGAAGGTGCCAGTAGCGGTTTGATAATATGTCCATCTTGCCTTTTCCTTGAGCGCTGACCAGATCCCCTGGTCATTCCCAACTGTCCCATTCTCTCCAGACCATAACAATCTATTCATGCCTCTACATTATTTATTTGCTCTTGACCATATCTAGCCTGTCATGCATAAATTCACCAACTCTTGGTGCAGAACCAGCCAATCTGTCTGCCTATTTATGTCCCAACACTCCTGCATACCCTAAAAAGAATTTCCGTCAATCAATAAATCAATCAATCAGTATAAAGTAAACATCAGTAAACAAGTACATCCACCAGCGTATGGTGACTGATAACACCAGTTCGGTGTCGGTTTACTATTCTTCTTTGGCTACATGTACAGTGTTCATATTTGGCGACACCTTTTTTGACCTGGAGTTCTTGCAGTCTTTTGAGTGTTCCTGACTCACCGTCGTCTCCTGAACCATCTTCTCGTCCTACAAAATAATCTACACGTGCAACTTCCTACTGGAGATTACATTTATAATATGACATAATGAGAAGAAAAAATACAGATGAGGAAAAAAGGTGCTTTATTAATATCCTACCCCAAATGATGTCACAGGCCAGTCCAGCATTTTAGAGGGTGGTAAGACTTTCCCGGCTTTCTGATGCTTTAAACGACCCCAAAACATCTCAAACTCGACCTAACACCAACCCACCTACGTCCCATGAGAGAGAGAGCAGCCTGGGTCCCATGACTGCATGCAGCCTAGGTTCCACGACTGCATGCAACCTACCACCCCCTGAAATATCAGACTGTCCAGTGACCTGTAGATTTCCCCTGTTTGGGGTAGGTTATTAATAAAGCACTGAAAAAAATATTGGCATCAGATCTAAAAAGAAAAAAAGACAAAGACAAACCGCAAACTGCCCCAGAAAACCCTGGACTTCTTTGCGGACGACACCAATCTGTTCTTCCACAACATTTCTAGGGTAGGTGTTCTTCTGCTCCACCTGCTGCACATCTGTATCTGGGCTGGGGTACAGCGGCAGCTGAAAGTAAACACAGCTACAGTGAGAGAGATTTTTGAAGAGTTACGCTGTGTTCTTTACAGGAGTGTTCTTCAAACATTTTTCACCAGTGGCAGCTGAAAGTAAACACAGCTACAGTGAGAGAGATTTTTTAAAAGTTACGCTGTGTTCTTTACAGCAGTGTTCTTCAACAATTTTTCACCAGTGGCCCAACAAAACAGTAGAAACTGTTTCACGGCCCACCTGACAGCTAGCCAAACAAAGAAACTTCTCCATCTTCTTCGTGTTCACCGGCTGTAAAGACCAGCGACAAGTTGTGGTTGTTTGTCCACCTCTGGACATTAGTGTTGTTCGAGAACCTGAGTGCTATGTGCATATCTGTTTTACAGATCTGACTCACTTGTATGCAGATTGATGGTTCATTGCCTCTCAGGCAGATGCACTCTGACTGACAGAGGACTTCAATGGAACAAAGCCAGAGAGAAAACTGCTGAGAGACGTCTGGCATCTCTCTGGCAAACCTCTACACACAAAGGTAGAAGAGGAGCGACTAAGTAAATAAGCTTTAGGCATTTAAGTACTAGGCACTTGGATAATATCTGAAGGAAGATGTATCACACAACAGAAAAGGAAAAATTAAAACTTCTTTTGATAAAATGAAGAACATGTTATGTTTTCTAACTGGCCATTGGAACAAGAATTCTTGCATGCTATATATAGCCAGTTTTTAAAATGGCTGTAAATTCTAGACAACAAATAAGCCAAACGATTTCTCGAGGTCTCAGAGATGTGTTTTTAAAGATTAATCCTTACAATTCTTTGAAATGCCACAGACACACACACACACAAAAGCTATCCAACTTGAAGACAACTTATCACACATATCAGAAAGAGGTATAATCTGTTTTGGGCAGAAATAAACTGGAAATACTCACAAACTTACATTTGTAATTATAATTGTTACAGAGTTATATCACAAACTTAGATTTGTAATTAGAATTACTGTAGACATATACACCTATAATTACTGAAGGATCACACACACAAATGTAGACTTACATCACAAACCCTGTATATACGACGTTCTCCCGTTCTCTCAGCCGCCTGTAGGGACCGAATTCTGTAACCCACGGCAACACCAACTGCGGGGATTGTGCCAACAACTGCAACCAGTCTCAGTACTCTGCGTGTCTGTTGTGATAACATTTTACAATTAAACATAATACTATCAAGAAGGGGGAGTCGCTGTGGTCTAGCGGCTAGACACTCTCCTGCGGAACAGAAGGTCCTGGGTTCGGGTCCTGACAGGGTCTGGACTTTTTTCCAAAATGACCTTAGCTTCCAGGTCGACCCAGCCTTGAGTGGGTACCAGGTACAGTCCTGGGAAGTAAACGCGGCCGGCGTGTCGCTGACCAGATCACTTAACAAGTTCTGTTTATTTAGTCTATAAAATACAGGTCTAACCTGAAGGCGTGGAAAAGGGTCCTTTACTTTACTATCGCCGGCGTCTGTGGCTTAGGCACCGCAAGTGCGCTTTGTAAAGCTGGGTTCTATCCCTGCTGCGGACGATTTGTCTTGCGCTGGGTTCTATCCCTGCTGCGGACGATTTGTCTTGCGCTGGGTTCTATCCCTGCTGCGGACGATTTGTCTTGCGCTGGGTTCTATCCCTGCTGCGGACGATTTGTCTTGCGCTGGGTTCTATCCCTGCTGCGGACGATTTGTCTTGCGCTGGGTTCTATCCCTGCTGCGGACGATTTGTCTTGCGCTGGGTTCTATCCCTGCTGCGGACGATTTGTCTTGCGCTGGGTTCTATCCCTGCTGCGGACGATTTGTCTTGCGCTGGGTTCTATCCCTGCTGCGGACGATTTGTCTTGCGCTGGTTTCGACAGTGGTACTGAGAGCTGACCGTTTAGGGAACAATGGCAAACTACAGAACGCAATATTTTCCAAGAAAAACAACAGCCAATAAATGCTGGGGGTGGTTCTGCAACGTCCTGTAAAGGATAGGCAACTAACTAACTAACTTTAATATCAAGAAGTTTCCCCTGCTCTGTAACATTACTTCTACATTATAGTGCGTTTATTTTTTTAGCAGCACATTTTTAAAGCATAATATTTGTTCTTGTAGACAATACTGTAATAGACACTTTAAGGTACTGGCACCTTTTTTAAAGATATTCTGAAGTGAGCACCTGCACCTTAATGTCTAGTGAAAAAGCCCTGCTTCTAAGCCCCATAATCAACTTGTAATGTGACACAGTCGTGCCTATACATCCCCCAAGAAATAGATGTGCCTAGTTCAGCCAAGGGTGAACGGATATAGTTCGTATGCTCTCTTCAATCGTACTCAAGAACAAGTATCTCTTCAGCTGGTCACAGTGCATGTGCTTGCTCACGGGCACTCGTCGAATGTTTCATCCCTCACTGTCAGATGTCATGGCGGTTATCGTGCAGATGTTCTGCATAGCTGGTTAGGCCATGGCTTTCTAATCACCCATTTCTGTCATTTCACACAGTGATGGATTAGTACGCCGTGTGGTGGTCTGAAATGTATGCTTTGTTCATTTAACCCCTTTCTGCCTATATTTTATTACAGTAAGACACAGGGAATGGTAAGCAAATGGGGCTCCATCATAGAAAATGGTTAAACAAAGGGTTCTGTAAGTCAAAAAGGTTGGGAACTACTGATTTAACTCTTTGAGTCCCAAGGAACGCATCATGCGTTCATAGGTTCCTACCTAGAAGCCCAATGAACGCAAGATGCGCCGATTTTATAACTTTCTTTACTACCCCCTGG